GATTTAAATTAAAATTTTTATTTAATTTTTATAAAATTACAAATTATTACATTCAATTTTTATTTATGAATAAATTAAAAAAATTGAAAGTTAGCAATAAAGATTATAGTATTTAATGATTTAATATTTACATAATTACTCAATTTCTCCTCTTTGTGAAGCTCATAACCAAGGGATAAAGAAACTAGTTAAAGCTGATGTTTGGTTTTTCATCTTTTTGGTGGTGACATGGTCCATATGGTATACAAGAAACAACATTATCCACAACTCACAACAATGGGATGAGGACAAAACATTTGATTTAATTCAAAGGAGGTCTTTTGCATGGATTACAGGGAAATATGTAAACATTGTGTTTTCCTTTTTTTGTTGGTGTAATTTTCCTAGTTTATGTGTCCAATAAATTTCTAAAAGTTAAATTATGATTTCAAGCATTCAGTTTTTTGCTTTTTGAATGTTCTCTTAAGTGATCTTTGTAATGTCTCATGGAGACTTTGGGTAGAATACTCATTATACTCCTCATTATAATAAAATATTTTGATTCATCTAAAAAAAAAATATTTACATAATTACTATGTGTTTTAACATTAAATTTGATTTCTTATTTTTTAAAAATTTAAACATATTATTTTTTGTATGATTGGTTGAGCCAATCGTTTGAATTAGTTCAACTAGTTAAACCAGACCTAGTGCCCAAAACGGGTCAAGCACCGGTTGGTTCTTAGAATATTGTTATAAATTAAAAAACCATAAATTATACTGTATAACGTAACATATAATTATGTTGCTATAATCCACCCAAATAAACAATGGACTATTCTATTTATTAACAATTAATTTTAGATTCAATGTTTGTCTGGAGCTGCACTCACGAGAGCGATGCATGGGCTGTATACAGTTAAATCAGCATACAGGGCACTCACGCAACTAGCAGATATTGAGGATAGGGTCAGTCTAAAACTATGCTGGATCCCCCTGGTGTTAAACAAGGTGTGCATGTTCACTTGGTTGCTATTGTAGGATCGACTAGCTTCCAAAAACAATTTTCTGCAGAGGAACATAATCAAGAATTAAGAGGATTCCTGCGTTTTGTGTCATGAGAAACTGGAGGATCACAATCATCTATTTTTTTTTAATTGTGAGTTTTCTTACTTTATATGGATGAAATGCTACCAACAATGGAGCATTAAATATGTCATACACAACTCTAGACAGCTGGATATTTTCTTACGGCACATTGGAGCCCTCAGAACTCATAAGCGGTGGAGGGTGATATGGCATGCAATTTTGTGGTCAATTTGGATGACAAGGAATAATGTTTTGTTCAACAAGAAACAGACAACTACGGACGGGGTTTTTCAGATGGCACAAGTTCTGCCTCACCAATGGATTAAGGGACACAAAGAAGGCTGACCAGCCTGGCCTTACTCGAAGAATGGAGGGGTAATCCTCATAGGTGCTTAATAACAAAAACTGGAGGTCATTAATTTTTAGAAACCCATGGTTACAATGGCCATTATGTTATGTGGATGATAATATATATGAGTTGAGTATCTCTTATGCTCTGATAATAATTAAAAAGTTTTCTTTGCTTTAAAAAGAAATTAATATTTGTCTTGTATTTAGCTATTCATGAATATTTCACATGATATCAATCAGTGCACCTCTTAGCTTAGTGGTTAGAACATTACATTGCAGAGTTGAGGTATGTACTTCCTAACTAAAATCCTTTAGGGATTAAAAATGAAAAAACGATATTAAAATCAATATATGATCTAGAGCCCAGATTGGCTTTAATAATAATAAAAAAAAACTATCAAAAATTCGAAGTTAAAAATATTACTTTCGTTCAATTGCACAGGTTGATTTTTTTTTTTTTTAAAAAAAAAAACTCAAATGCACACAAACCAGATGAGAATAAGACAAAAAACAGAAGTACTCAATCGTCCCAAAGTATTTGTCTTTTTATTAATTTTTTTATTATCTCAAATTTATTGTCATTTATGTTCATATTGAGTATATATATTGTGTAATGGAGCAGGAGAGGGTTCGCGTGTTTCGCGTGGAAGGTTGAAATAACTACCAAAGATTTTGTTGTTGGTTTTTTTTTTTTGCAGTCAGCTGTCAAGAAGTCCCAACGGAGGGGAGACAAGAATACTTGCTCTTATATAATATTCATCAAATCCTTACTACTAGATTATTGATAAATAAGTATTGTTTTGTAAATTAAAATATGTTTAAGTTAAGATAAGTTTAAGTCTTTGTTGTTACTACTAAAAAATATTAATTTTTTAAAAATATATTAAGATGATGTGAAAAATGTATAATTTTAAGGCCATAAACATTGATATGAAAATATCTTGATGGTAAATAAAAAATATATATAATATTTCACCAAATCATGGACATGTACTAATCCTCAAATAATAATCAATTGAGATATCAAAAATACTTAATTGTAATATTATGTAATATTATAAACACATTATATAATATATCGTTATATAATTAATTTTTTATTTAAAAATTTACTTATAATTTATATGTACCTATTTATTTAAAATTATATAAAATTATAAATTTATAATTTTAATAATATTATAACTATAATATTAATATTAACGACTTAAATAATTTAGTGATTATTTTTTTTCGTTGGAAGTAAGAGGTTTTAAATTCGAATTGCATAGCATACAGATGAGATGAAATAATGAATGAGAGGTGATTGCTTTTTATTATGCAACAAAAAAAAGAAAAGAAAAGAAAAGAAGAAAAACTAGAAACCATAGCATTAGCTATTGAGATATATAAAACATTATCTATGAATATCTCGCTTTAAAGTTCCTTCTCTTTGCTTGGATTTGGGGGGAAGCCGTACGGTAGTGGGTTTCCTTTTCACTACTGGTGCTCTTTCTTAGGCGTATATTTTAGGTATTACTGAAATCTCTAAAATTTTTACTTGAATTTTTGAATTTTAGTTTGGATAATTTAAATATTTGGATAAATTTAGATAAAATCAAAATGATCAAAATTAATTTTAATTAGAATATGGTTATTGACTAATATTTAAAATTATCAATATGACCCATTAAATTATTTGAAAAATTTTTAATATTAAATGAGAAAAAATTGTTTTCCAGGTGAACTATATATAGTTTGTCTTATAAAATTACTTAAATGTTCTTAATTTTGTTTTTATATATTTTTTCAGGGGTATTTAAATAATTTTACAAAGAACAGTCCGCCCTATAAAACAATTTTCAAATTAAATAATTATATTTTTTTGATAGAATTCTGTTTTTTTTTTCCTTGTCGAATTTATAGACAATTAATAATCTTTACAAAAATTAAAAATAATCAAAATTAAAATAAAAAAGCTTTTAATAACTAGTAGTGAAGAATAATGATATATTAATAGAAAATTACTGATACAATTTTTGGTTTAATACATTTCACAACATCTATCGATTCAACTATTAAATTATGCAATTTTTAGGTTTTTTGCTTTTGATTCAAATATGAAAAAATAATTTCTTAATGAGTATGTTTAAAATATGTTAAATTGAAAAGTGTACCAATCATTATTTTATATTAATTTTAGTATATAAAAATTTTGGTTATTTTGGTTAATTAATCAAATTATCTAAATAATCTTGGTTATCCAAAATTATAACCAAAAATCAAATATTTGGTCTGGGTTTGGTATCAAAGTCATATCTAAAATTTTTTTGGATAATAAAAAATTTGGTTTGGTTTGGACAATAATCGATATGTTTTTTTTTATTTAATACATG